CGTCACAGCTATGGAGGCAGAGGTGATGGAGGTGGCGGTGGTCGACGGCCGTAGCGCAGGAGGATTCGGAGTAACGGTGGTAGCACGGGAGTGGCGCCGTCGTGTTCGGCGTAGGGACTGGAGCAGGACGTTTGTGGAAGTTGGAGCGGGCGCAGTCGTGGAGGCAGAAGTTGCGACTGTCAGGCGGTTGGTGCATTGGATCCGATGATCTCCAATAAGGCCGATCCGCACGCGGAATGTTTGTTTATACCTGGGCCATGTTTGGTTAAGTTGAGTGACAACGTTGTGTGTGGGTGGCGCCTGAGACTTGCAAGCAGCCCCCTCGGCTTTGGTGACAGCGATCTGCTTTGCTTCGCAGATTGGTTGCGCCAGTCTTCACATATTTCCTCCAGGCAGTGGTCCTCACAGGTCTCTGGGTTGATATGTAAACGCTTGAGAGGATTATTTGAAGTATCCTTAGAGCGTTGTTTTGGCCCTAACGGTCGACGAGCACCCGTGCCAATATCTACGTAGAAGAATTGTTTAAGTAAACTCGCGTCGTCCATCCCCACAAAGCAGCCTCTCTGTTGCAGCTAGAGTTATCTCAGCATGGCCTAGATGCTGGGGATTCCGGTCCTTCCGGAACTTCCGTGTCCGGGATTCTGTCCTGCCATCACAGCCTCGGTATTCTGCCAAAGCAGGTGAAATGCGAGTGGTTGAACTTCCGGGCATGGCTTACCTAGACGTTTAGAAAAAACTCAATTCTGTATGATTTTCCATAGTCCCTCGCGATCCGTCGTATCGAGGGCTTTTGTCAAGTCCACCAGGGTAGTGTATAGGTGCGTCCGAATTTCCTGAAACTTCTCCTGTAGCTGGCCAGCGACGAAGGCCATGTCGGTGGCCCCGCAGCGTTGTCAAAAGCTACATTGAGTTATCCGCAGTTGTCGTTGGTCGAGGTGACCGTTGAGACGATTGGGGAGAAGGCGAGCGAAGATCTTGTCAGCGATATTGAGTAACGGGGTGTCTCTGTGGTTATCACAGAGTTGCCGGTTCTTTTGCGCTCCTCGAAGTCCTGAGGAATCTGTCCTTGTCACCACATCTTCTGGAAAAGCGTTGTAAAATTGTTCATTTGTCGGTGGCCGTCGTGCATACTGATTTTAACTGAGATCGCATAGGAGCCTGGTGCTTTCCTTCCGAAGTGTTTTTGCACGGCAAGAATGGTTTCTGGGAGGGAGGGGGGGAGATCCAGGCGGATTTTGATTTCCACTTAAGGGAGCCACTCAACGGCAGCGTCAGACACTGTGGAAGGGCGGTTGAGGACGCTCCTGATGTGCTCGACCCAGCGTTTCAAACTCTGCCACTTCTTCGTCAGAGGTGTCGATCTTTCGGAGCTGAGAAGCGGCGCGGTTCCTTTCGTTCGGGGACTGTAGATCGCCTTGGTCGCAGCGAGGACGTTTTTCGTTTCATTGCTGTCTGCACACCTCTGGATTTTCTCGTTCTTACGAGCCATCCAGGCGTCCTGCATTTCTCGACATCGTTGCTGAGCAAGGCGGCCTCATTGCTAGAAGACCGCCTTGTTTGCATCAGATGGGTGGCCAATGTAGGCTGTATATGGGTTGTTTTCTCCGGCGAGCAGGTTGTTGATGACTGCGTCGTTTTCGTCGAAACATTTCCTGATGTTGATAGCGTAAGCGACCGTGGACACCAAAGACGGTCGAATAAACGGCGTCCCGCAGTTAGCACCATCGGGACTCACGGTGACTTTGACGTCGGGGGCTGACCCGTCTCCCATGTGTTGAGCCAACCGATTGCTGAAATGTAAACGGCGAGCAGGCAAATTCAAAATGACGGTATTCCGCTAGCCTGTTGGTCGCCTAACTTGTGGCCTCCTGTGGGGTTACAGTCGGAGCCCCACCTTGGAGACGATGAGGCAGTGGTCCGTGCAGCCATCAGTGTCGCAGATCGCCTTGGACACCAGCACTTCCCGTCGGTCATGTCACCGCACGAGAACATAGTCCAGCAGTTGCCGGCGCCGCGATCGTGGAGGTATCTAGGCGATGTTCTGCGCAGGTTCGCAGGAGAAGGAGACCGTTGTCGTTGCAGCCGTCGTGGGGACCAAGCAGCGTGGTCTGTCTCGACGCGGGCGTTAAAGTCACCAAGAGCAACTAGCTTGTACGCCGTCGACACAGACGCCAGGAGCGCATGCAGGTCCTCGTAGAACTCGGTCTTCGCCCCGTCAGAGCCGGTTACTGGTGGGACGTAGGCCCTGATGTTGATGATGATGATGATGATGATGATGATGATGATGATGATGATGATGATGATGATGATGATGATGATGATGATGATGATGATGATGATGATGATGATGATGATGATGATGATGATGATGATGATGATGATGATGATGATGATGGGTTGAGATTACCGAAGAGGCAGGTGCAGGTTCATCAGTCAGTTGTCGATACCCTTCGGCAGACAGGGCAGTGACCCCACAGTATCGTTCAGGATGGCAAAGGCGACGCCTTCGTCTCGCTGCTCTGCCTTTGGGCGGCCGCTCTAGACGAAGGTGCAGCCGGCACCTATCTCGGAAAGGATTAAGTAAATTTTCGGGGTAAGAGCATGGTAACCGGTGGACCGTGTATTTCGGGAATGGTGATAATAGGGGTTATACGGTGGGCCTTACAGTGGGCAGCTGGGATTCAATGGAAGTAAAATTTACAAAATCGAAAATTGCCGTGAGGCTTTGCTTGCAGTACGGTAATAAACGGAAATCAGTCATGCAATGCAAGAAAGAAAAAAATTTAATCAGAAATTTGAGGAAACGGAATAAACCGTCGCTGTCTAATGCCCGCGGAGTCAGAGTCAAAGGTTGTTCGTAGCCTATAGGGATAAAGGGCTGTGAGTGTCCGGTGGTGTCAATTCGCACTGGTCGTGGAATGTAACCATATGCTTCTCAGGGCACTGCTGTGGGTCGAGGAAAACCCTGCGCACAGATTCAGTGATTGAAAAAAGCTGATTAACCAAAGATAAATTCTGAGGATCACCCGAATTTGCAAGGCGTACAAGAGTAATGGATTGCTTTGACGAAGTAGGATTGTCACACCGGACGGCAATGGAATAGAACTCAGTATGCCGGAATGCGTGTTCAAAGGGACTCGTAAAACAAACCAGACAATCAGGCGGCTCAAGTGTGGGGGGTAAATAGATGAAACAACGGTAAGCCGCCCCATGTACAAGGCTGGCCGGCTGAGAAGGTGGCTCTGGCTGCTTGGAATGTAGGATACTAAGGAGACCCTGTTTCGGGCCGAGCAGTGCGGGCGCACGTGGACGAAATGCAGTATCATCTGTAGTTTGGACTGCACAACGCAGGCCTGGATAATGCATGGGAAACTTTTAGGTCCTGTATTGTGGAAGTATAGCCCGTGCAGCGACGTTGCCCCAACTGGATTACTCATCGTATAAATAGACTTTTTTGTATAAAGTAAGGCTGACTATTGTGTCTGTGGCATGTTGAGGGTGGGAGGATGGCACTGTAAATCGCAGAGGATATGGAGAAGGTCGTGTCGTAAAGTTTTACTTTGAGTACCCAACATGATGTCGATATGTGCGCCTCTTACAGTCCCTCAACAGAGGAGCTAGAGCCATCAGAATGCCCGACAGGATTCTTTCTGAGAACACTTTATTTTCCCTTCGACTAAAGAAGTGCGTTTGAGGGGTGCAGAACAATGCACGTATGTGGACACTTCTGAAGCATCGAATCCTCAGGGTAGTGGATGTCAACAAATTTCACACTGCCTGGACTAGAACTGGTGAAGGACATGACTGGAATCTGACTGAAAACACTTTAACTTTCCTCCTATTAAAGATTTACGTAGGGGATGGGGTGCAAGACACTGAGCCAATGTAGACATTTCAGCGGCACCGACTCCTCGGGACGACACAGGTCAACGAATATCATCCTGCCGGTGGGGGTTCGACCAAAATCTCTACCGAGCAACACCTATTTTGAAAAATATAGTGGGTAGTTCTTCATGGTTTTCTTTACTCCATGCATAAACTGAATCCTTATCTACACCCCCTCCACCTGAAGCAGCTCAGAGAAACGGGTCTAGCTGAAAGTAGCAATGTCCAGCTTGTGGCACGCCAGTACTTGCGCAACTAGCGCCGTCCACTGTTTCGGTCGGTTTCTCGTCAGATTGCTTAGAATGAAACGACAATTTCAGGCCACCAGAGTGAACAGATTCACCCTAACAGCCTGTGGGGTGGGGCGGAGGGAAGGAGAGGAAAGTAGCTATTGCGCGCTGTAATGTTTCAAGCTCGAATTTCGCTATGAGCCGTGGTCAGTGTGCAACTGACGTGACTCCAGCATTTTTGGTGGCACATTTTCCAGCCCCTCTCCCACGAGGGAGCAGACAGTGTCGTCCCTCAATAAGACCACTGAGATATCCCAGACGGCTGTCAAATTCCACTATACGTCACGGCTTTGTTTGGTGAAGGGCCAGCGAGTTAGCCGGGACAGCTTTTGGGATTGCATACCACCCTCTCAGTAGAGCTTTTTGGAGTGGGGGTAGGGGATGGGACAAGAAGGGAAGCAGAGTTACTGAGTGTGATTACACACACGACACCAAATACCCTCATCCGGTTTAGCTCGCCGATCGAGGCGGTTACCGGGAGGTGTACACTAGGCAGAGCCTAGCTCTGGCGAGCCACAGGTAACAGTTGGGTGCCAGTTAATGGACGCTAGGGGTAGTCGACGCCCACATGAAACGAGGACTCATCTACGAGGCCATTCGAAAACACAGTTAAGGCTTCGCTGTACGGTCCGTTTACTCCTACTACACTTAACACCACACCAAATCTGTAAATATGATTATTATGCGGCCTAGTGCTGGTATGCAGTTACTGGCACAGGAAAAAACAGTGAAGGTACAAGACGTACTCCACACAAAGTCAGCACTGACATTCATGTGGTTTGTCTGTACAAACGGAGTGGGATCGACTTGTCAGTAAGTCCTCCATCCAAGTTAGAAGTTTGCCATACCCCAGCTTTTTGGAGCGTTTTTTCATGAGGTGATGGTCAGCGCAATCAGCTTCCCCATCACCTCGGGTACATAGGGTTGCATTGACGTGCAGAAGTCTACGTTTTGCTTAGTATGGCCTCCGAATGCGTTGGCCCATAGTGGACCTGGAAGGGGTGCCAGATGCAAAGTAATGTGTACTGAGACAAAGGTAATCGATTACAATAAACGAATTCTTCCATTGATGCCGCGGGCGGAAATTACCTAGAAGATTTAACGATCCTGATGTTAAAAGAGATACTCAAGGCCTGGCCAGAGGCTTATTCTTAGATCAATTTAAAAGTTACAAGCTGATCTGACCCAGCAGCACTATCGTGGGGATATATGCCTCGTCGAAGTCAGCATAACAGGATGGTATTGTAATTAAACTACTGTGCAGAGTCGAATAACCTGTTCGTTAACATGAAAACTCGCGTGCACCTTTAGCGTGTAGGATCTATAGCGAAACAACCCCGAAAGGCCGAGAAAAGTGACTTAAGAGCCACAGTAAGACAACTGGTCAGACATCTCAGCGAATTCACATAAGAATGAGTAACAGGAATTTCACTCTGATGCAACATGATTAGATTCGATACAATATCGATTGATTCGGCCTGTGTTCACTCGGAAAAGCATAGGAAGACTATCCAGTAGGTAACCATGCTCAGGAAAAGGATACTTCTGCCTACACGGATAATAATGAAGACAGCCCGTAAACCCTCGCTATGCAAGCCATTTCGATGTCGTTTCTAAACAACTAAATGCATACGACTTTATTCGTCCTAGAGACCCTATTTCAAACAGAAGACCTTGCGAGTGGTAGAAATCGAGTGACAACGTAAATTTCACTCTTTATTCACAACATATTTCCACCTTCTCATTCCCAGAACAGCCATCGTACACAAAGACTATTAGTAAGTTGTTATTGCCACCACCCACTAAAAGAACTGGATTGATGACTACGAATTGTTGGTTGGTCAACCTCGCCGATTTACTGCGTAAAACCATAGAGATGCCACCCGTGACCTCGTACGCTACTTCCAGGGCAGGCACAAACTTATAGGCCTTTTTCAGCATGAAATCCATATGGGACAACCATGATTAACAAACTCTATCACCAGTAAGGTTATCCTATATAGGAAACTGTATAATGAGGAAGATGACAAGGTTGACTTCTCTAAACCATAACGAAGTCACTGACACAGTCAACCATCCATTGTTTGCTGAGGAACTTTGGGGAAATAATCCGGGGTAAAACGTAATAAACCGGAAGAAGAGTTTATGAGATATCAAAAAATGTAAACTCGTATTCGAAACCTACGACACTGAGTTGTTGGCAGAGAGTGGTATTCCACGAGCCTCAGGCATCATAACACTCACAGTACAAAATAATCTCACCAACGCCCCTATCCTACAAATACCAATCTCATGAAGTGTTGGCCCAAATTCTGAAGTGCGTTTTCGATTAGGAAGGATTACTTAGAGGGGGTTGTAATATTGATTATCATGCGAAATAATTCTATAATCTTTCGGACTCGCCAGGATGTCGACTTCTGAATGCACTTTTTTCGATTTCCAGTAGAAACCGCACTCAGTAAAAAAATGACAACTCAAGTAGCATGCATTTGTCAGACTGATTTTCGATGGTCTTAAAATTCAAATATATTTCGCAAGAAACGTGCACAAATATATGCTTTCTTCTGCTCGTTTGGTATATAATCACGTTTTCTTCGCATTTCATACTCGAAGAAAGCATATTTTTCGGTTTCAACAAAAATTGCTGGTTATAATATTTTTAAGGCCGCGCAATGTCCATTCATGCATTATCGTACCTGTCCGTTTACTAATGTTCGTCATTAAATGTACAGCATGGACCGCATCCATTGCAAAATTTTATATAATTTATAAAGTATCGTTTTAAAGATACAGAGGTATACGGAATTCTTCTTGTGTAGAAAGCGTGCATCTTGTAGATTTAAATCGGTTAACGCTAATGCAACGGCTGATCGGCCTCGACATGATTCGGGAGTTGAAAAACTTTTTCAAAACATCAATATACTCTTTATTCGGGTAAAGACTGAAGAAAACGTGATTCTATACCGAATGAGCTGAAGAATGAATATTTTGTGCATGCTTCTTGCGAAATTTATTTGAATTTTTAAGACCATCGAAAATCAATCTGAAAAATGCATGCTACTATATTAGTCACTTTTTTACTGAGTGCAGTTTCTACTGGAAATCGAAAGGAAGTGCATTCAAAAGCCGACATCCCGGCGATTCCGAAATATTATAAGATTATGCTGCATGACAATCAATATTACATTCCTATCTAGGTAATCCTTCCTACTCGAAAACGCATTTCAGAATTTCTGTCAATATTTCATGAGATCGGTCACTCCTGTAGGTCGGGTTTCCTAATACACACTTGTTATGCCCTGCGGTTTCGCTAGTCGCCCACCCTAATGAGGATCACCCCTTGACTGCTGGGAGGCCCCTGCACCACACCCCTGGCAGTTCAGTTACAAGTCTCCTGTAACCCAACATCTCAGTGGGCGTCTTCCTTTGACGCTTTTGATTCGCTGTCGTCCTGCTCCATCTGGAAACCAAGAAGGCCGTCTGGATTCAAAGCCAGTGAGAGACAAGCGAATGAATCTGGTTGCCTTATCTGTCGAACTTTGAGCCCAGGAGATCGCCTGTCAGGGCCAGATCACCAGCTGAGACTTCTTCATCATCCTCCGCCACAAATATTTCTTCCCGTCATGGGGACTTCGTTCTGTCCTCGCTTCCGTAAATCACTGCGCGCAGCAGTTATTTTCGCCTAAATTCTTCAATTTAAATGGTTTGATTCCCTAAACTGCCTCTGTGCCTCCGTGCAGTTGTTTTTCATCCTTTGCTAAAGTCGCCCTGTTAAGCCTAAACTTGCCTTCACCCTGGGGCTTACATAATATATGCAGGAGTTTTGAGAAATGTCAACACTTGAATCGAACGGAGAAAACTCATCACCTGACAGCACAAATTCAGTTGGATTTGGAACAGTTAGAATGCAGTAGATTATTGGAATAATGTGGGAGAAGATAAAAGTGCGACCACTATTTGATTCGTTGGCGGCGAAACAAGCAGGATTGTGAATGCATAAATCGATGTGTCCATACGGGCTCGTGAAGGGCGATGTCGGAGATGTCGAGCGATGTTGGAGAACGGGTATCTCCGGCTTCCCCCGAAACACGTATGGTTAGAGCTTCCCACTGAATGCCCATTCCTTTTCCCGTCACATCCTTCTTGCCCTCGCTATTCCCATGCAGCCTTTCCTAATAAATTGCTCTTATATTGCGATATTTCTAGTTGGTATGGTGCGTTGGTATTTGCTTGACTTTTACTGTTGTGGTTTCCTTTTCTACCGCCCACGTTAATTTATACTACACAGGCGGAAGTCATACAGAAATTCCATGATCGAAAACAATGATAGAATGCTATGGTAAAAATGCTTAAAAAATTAATTAGTCCAAAATATTATAGAAAAAACACGCCGCAGTCGAAAAAAAGTAGTCGGTGACAATAGCGGATGTACTGTGAAAAATATTATATTTACGTGAGATGGTTCTGTCGAGAATGTGTGAATGTTTCATCTTGATGATTTAGTTAGTTTATCCCGCTCCCTCATATTCATACATTTTGAAGTAAATGATTGTTCCTTAAAAAGGTTGTCTCGCGATAATTGAAAATTTCTTCTCAACAACATTGCCGTGTCAGTTTCCTTTCCGAAGTGGTGGCTCTTCCGCGTCTTCAGCTTTTCTATTTGATTCCGGCAGTTTGAACCAATATCTAAATGTCGACACGAAACAGCTCATACTCTAGAAAGCCTTGACTCATCAGCTGCCTAGGCTTGCTAGCATACACAGTTCAATTGGCTACAGAGCCTAGACTCACAAAACGCTGGTGTCATACTCGCCGTCTCATTTATACTCCACAAGCTACAAGACAGGCAGCTGTTGCACATCAATCTTGATTTCTTTCACCAACGCCAAGTCGCTTATTGGTAGAAATGTGTCAATGTTTAGATGGCGTCTGAATATATATTTTTCATACATCCGCCACCTTATTGAATACTCGGTAATAATCATACGCCAATGTAGCTTATAAAATTCAAGGCAAGTACGTTTGTGGTAGAGAGTCGTTGTCAGAGGCAGCTGGTGCCAGCATACGGGATGTCTTTGGAATGTTATCCCTCAAAATTACTTCCACTAGACAGTAAATGATATGCACAGGGCATAGCTGCTCTACTGCTGATGGACCTGATTTTGGCGTGAAGAACTTTTAATTAATTAGCTATTACGTAAGTAAAGGCATCAAGGCGTAAAAGATACAAAAAAACGTGGGATTACGCATTGCTGTCTCGCAAAGTTGAGGCCGACAAGCGGTATTAACACAGACGTCAGACTGTGGAACTCCAAAAGCAGATGTATGCCCTCCAAGTTGCCCAAGAAAACAAAAAAATAAACAGTTCATCCAAGGGTATATTTATCGGCATCAGGTGGGACCTCGGCGCATTTTCGAAGGAAAATCATAAACATTTGGGAGTAAAATAGGATAGCCAAGGTTAGAAGCAACTAAAGTGACAGTTTAAATAGAACGCGAAAATTCTTACAAAATCGACGGGGCTACGGCCGGTCCATCGTCGTCTGGCCCCGCCTAATGACGGGACCATGTGCTAGCAGGAAGTTGCCAGTCAGCAAGCCTTTGGCCCATACTGTATGCCGACGAGTGCAACCCGAAAAAATTATGGTCACCGGTCAGTTGGGCTATCCTAGGTATTTGTTCCGAGCCTTATACACTCAAACGCTCTCAATGTCTGGCTAACCCTATGACTGGCATGACCATCAACCTCATAAAAGGAAATTGAGGCAAGCCGAAGCATAGACGTGAAGATATGTGGGGTTATTAAGAAGAAGCACAACACAGGCTCTATTGTAGCCTTCTCAGAACAACCCTCGCACAATGGAAATTGGTTATGAAAGGTCTTCGGCGGCCACACTGCCTAATGCCAACTTTCCTTGAAATCTATTAATAGCATTTTCGCTTTATCTGTAATATTTTGCTTCAACAAAATCCTTGCATTTCAATATTCTGTTCTAACCCCGCCAACAAACACCACATTGTTGCGATCCTCACCTCCACAGGACAAGTCCGTGCGGATATATCCTTTGTTCATGCTAATTTTGACTCAGGAACCGGTTTAAAGGAAGTTCCAAGAGGATGCGCATACCCGGGTCGTCCCCCTATCTTCCACATACGGCCAGGTCTGATAAAGTGCCAAACAGCTATTTCTCCGGTCCCTATCACCCGCAGTCTGCAAGCTCGGCTTTTTGAAAACACCGCACAAAAGCTGGCAGAGCCTTGTCCCTTGTGACGGAGGGAAGACGCAGCTCATCTGTGCCAAACGAGAAATCCTTTGATGCGCTCAGTCGCAATCGATTATTTTGTGATGGAGTGCGAAAAAGACCTGAGTCAAAATTACCCACTCGATATTCAAAAAGTGCTTACAGGTGTTGAATAGAAATGATACTGTATTTCTCCAGTTTACAGATTTAAAAAATCTGTGTTTATATGCGAAAATTCGCGACTCAGAGGGTTCTGTGCAGTCCCCAAAAGACGGTCGACCAGCAGCGAGTACCGCGAATTGCGGTGAAAAAAAATTTCGATTTTGCCTTTTCCGAGGGGACCCAGTTTAGGTACCTACCCATCCGCCACGTGCGTCTACTTGGACGCTCCCGATTTCACCACGGACACTGCCAGTCTCGAAGTCGCCTCGGCAACATATTATACGTCGGGCAATAACCACCGAACGTGTTGGATGCTTCGCGACGCATGAGCCGGGGATTTGAGCCTCGATGTCTGCCAGCCTGGTTGCCTCCCGGCTTCGGGAAAGAGATCTCCGTACTGGCCTTTGTCGCTGTCACAACCCTCAAGGTTGGTATTCCCGACCGCAACCTGCCTTCGATAGCTGACTAGTACCAGAAATTATGCATACTGTGTGGAATTCTGGGAAGCGCAATGCGACTAAGTAGGGGGACGAAACAAATCTCTAGCCCTGCAAAACTCGCATGATGCAAAATTCCTACTCGTTCTGCCAGGCATTGGTAAGGGGATGTTGTCTTCTGGTACGTGGAGTTCGGCAAATGTGTGCGTAGATAAGAATAAAATTTCCTTTTAAAGTAAAGTTGCACAAAACCAGTCCCAAGGAGAGACCGCACACAGTAAATCTCCCTTTGGACGCCAGTTTTGTTGCGATTCTTGGTCACTTCCCAACTGTAAGTCAGCCTTCGCAACTCAAACGTGCGGAAACTTATTGAAACAAAAACTACAACAGGGAACTCGCAAAAAAGTCCTTATCTGGCGTACACTGTATGCTCTTTAAATCGCAAAACAGGTTCTAGACAGCTCACTCCTTCAAGTTAAATTACGAGGATGTGGGTGCCGGACTTTGTACCCATATCACCCTCCAAAAGAAAACAGACCCCCAAAAAGTCCGTCTCCTGAACCTCAAGATGCAAGTCCAGGACGAACCTGATCTCTTGCATTGCACTTCCTCCTTCACCAATCACTAAATTTGTATGTTTATCTTCATAGGCGCGAGTGTCTGGGGTTCGCCAGTTCTGTGGACGCTGGCTGTCGCAAAACCCCGAAGGGAAACAGTGCGCGTTTTGTCAACAAAAGTGTGCCGTTTTGGGCCAGATCCGAATGCAAAGGCACACTACGAGCTACATAAATGGAGAACCTAGCTGTGTCAAGGAATAGGTTGGTACTGAGTCTGATAGATGTTAGTAAAATATGGGCAGCCAGGATAAAAACATCCATAGCACCACTGAACACTGCTGGTTTCATGCCGATTTTTCTTACTGGAGGCACCACACCGAAGAGCAGATTAAAGACATATTAGGTCAGGCACTCTCGTATTCTCTATTCCTTATCATCATATAGGTACGGTTACCGATTGCCATTCATGATGGCCATTAAAGGTTACGGTGGATAAACGTACAGATTCGGAACACACACCGAAAATACGGCAGTTTAGATCACCCTGATGAGAGATAAAAATCCGGTCTCAGATGACATGCAAAACAACACTTTTAGTGAAAGTAAAGGTTCATTTCAATAATCGAAATATGCAAAAAGTCAACGACTAGTGTGGAAAGACTGCTCAGTATCCCAGTTGTCTTCATTTGGATGTAACTTTAAATAGACTGGGAAACCAGTAGGTGTTACTCCCAGATCCATTGTCATCATCGATCCAAGCCATACCTTCCTGGAGCAAATAGTTCAGTGCCGCCAGAGCCCGCTCTTCAGTCCAACTGAACCTGAAATTGATAAGCATTAAAATGCCTCATAAGTTGTCGGTCGTGCTCTTTCGGGAAACAAGCGGGGATGCAATAACATCGGTCGGCTAGGTATGACAGAAACTCCGCCTGATCGTTGAAGTAGCGGTGGAGGAAGATTTAACGGGTCTCGGTGAGCGAACGATGTCAAAGTGGGTTGTCTGCGCTACATGCCCTTCAGATTGGAGAAAAATCTAAGAGAAACGATAGGTTTCGAAAAGTGCACCAAAAAGAAGTTGCGTCTGTGTATGTACAGACAAAAACGCCTACTGACTGGCCGCGCAGTGGAGGACTGCGCCGTTCATATGGTGCAACGCTGAGGTTCGTTTGTGTTTTCTGTAACACAGCTGCTTCTTCCAGTGTTTTCTGCATCAAATAAATCCAGGAAATAGATATAGTATCCCGTACTGTACAACTAGGCCGCCTTTCTATTGTGTTTCGAATATAATCAGCGACGAATCTCAGGAAATGTAAATCGAAATTCTGAAATCTGTATCCAATTAGGAAAGATTACTTAGGTGGGGTTGTAATGTTGATCATCCTGAGGCATAATGTTGTAATATTCCAGACACTCCAGGATGTTGGCATTTAAATGCACCTTTTTCCGGCCGCCTAAGGTTAACGAGCATGATAGAACTGACTACTTAAGTAGAACGCACCTTTCTACTGAATTTAGGCGCCCTTATAAATTCAGATATATTTTGCAGAAAACACATTGTTATATCGCTCAGCAGTACGACGCCAGTTCTCTGCGGAATAGAAGACAGGCAGGATAGCAGAGAACAGCTTTACTGTGACGGTTACCCTGTGTACCTCAACTCTCAATCCTTCTGCCCGTGGCTTCATATTTAGGGGGTCTGCTCATGTCTGCTTTGCGTGTTCCTACTGGTACAGGCCTGTGCGCCCGCATGGGCAGACTCTCGCGTGTTGGTGACCCCCTGAAGGTCGCGCGCAACTCAGCCGTGTGCTAATTGCTGGCTCGCACGCGGGCTTGCTTGGCGAGACTGATTTGCGGGTTTTCGGCTCTTTGTCAGGCATGACCGCCGGACGACAGGAACGGTGCGGATGGGCCGTCCTAACACGCGTAAAAATATTCTTTCTTGCACTCCTTTAATAGCTAATCATGCCTTCTTTAAAGTTGATACCCGAAGGAAGGGTATCCCTCGGTTTTAAAAAAAGTTTATAATTATGAGATTTTTAAGATCGTAGAATGTCCATTTAAATAGCCTCTTATCTGTCTGTCTAATAGTGTTCCTCATTATGACGTTATTGTAACCAAAAGGGAGTTCAAAGGCGCTCGCCTACCTTTCCCTTAATAAATCTAATCTGATCTGATCTGATTAAGCATACAATAAAGTCCACATAAGTTGCAAAATTTTATGAACCACATATAGTTTCTGCTTAATAGCACAGAGGAGTGCATGTTTTTCCTTACATGGAAAGTATGCAGCTAGTAGACTAAAGACCTTAAACGCAAGTGCAACGGCATATCTGGCTCAAAATTTTTCTGGGTCTGAAAAACTTTTTAAGACAGAAAGATACCCTTTCTTCGAGTAAGAAATCTAAAGAAGACGTGGTCTGTTATCAAATGAGTACATGAAAAAGTATTTTATGCATGTTTGTTACAAAATGTATCTGAATTTACAAAGGTATTGAAATTCAGTAGAAGAAATGCATACCACTTAAGTAGTCGTTTATTACCGAGTGTGGTAATTGCAGCCGCCCAGAAAGAGGCGTATTTAAATACCAAGACAATCAATATAACAACCCCACTTAAGTAATCCTTCCTAATAGCATACGCATTTCAGAATTTCGGTTAACAGTTCATGAGATAAGTCAATGATCGAATACTGTCTTGTTGAAAATTAGGCCCGATGAAACATAACGTACATGTAGTAGAGTTTATGGGTTTTCTAAAACTTACTGCTTAACACATCTATGTACGGAGACACTGCCACCGTTGGACTCGGCAAGGCCGAGTACCTTGGTCTGATCCATGCTCATTTCGCCGGGGACTGACTGAACAAGTTGTCCAGAACCAGGTAAATCAATCAGTGTGAACCCGCTGCCCAGGCAACGCAACTTCTTGATTGCCCTGACTACATCATCCTGACTGGCTTCAGCCTGCCGTGAGCTCCTCGTCTTGTTCACAACTTCGATGAGCTCAGAGAGTGGCATGAGACCGCCTGTCTGCCGCTGGTTCGCCATGCAAACCTAAACTCAGGGTATATAAGAAGTGTTAATTATTGTGGGGAAAAGAATAGCTTCAAGTGGTGACTCGTGTTTTCTACCAAAGAAACGAACTGAGGGCTGGAAAGATTCTAGACGTCTATTTACACAAGGGGTCTAGATGAGATTGGCCCTAAATAACACGAACGTAGCAAGAGATCAATATCGGGTGAACAAAACTATGGTGCCTGCAAACAGCCTTCTCAGCGTCGCAAATTATCGGAGCTTAGTTTCTGTTGTGGATAATGATGGGGCGCCAGCCTCTGCTAAAATCGGCTCTCAAGATGCTGTCCCCCCGAGTAGCCACGCCGGCAGTCAGGTTGTTGGGCAAGAATTACAACTCCCAGTGGATCCAAGTCATGGGGAAACAGTCAAAGTAGCTCGTTGTCTATGCGGTTATCATCCTTCACAAGGACCCGTCCCTTAAAATGTGTACCAGTGACGGGTTTAACGAGAACTGGCCTTTCACGTAGGACCCATCTACCATTGCCGCGCGTCCGCGACAACACATAACAGGTCTACTTGAAGTATTTTTTGTTTGGTCGCGACAGATTTTGGGAATTACTTTTCCCAGGGCGGATTCTTTGACTCAACCTCCTCATTCCACGTCTAAGTATGGTGGGCCCATAATATTCCGCCTTCGAAAGTTCCCTCCGTACTGGCGAGTGGTGCGGACAACTCGAACCATATAATTAGGACGCTACCGCGTAGTCGTCCGAATGAGAAAGTGCTGCGAATTTTCTGTGTACTGCACCGCCTAAGGCTCCTGTACGCTGTCGCCTCCAGGCGGTCTTCCTTGAATAAAACTAACAGTCCTAAGTGGTTAGGCAGACGCATGACGCCGTAAGAATATGTTTATTCCCCCTCAGACGTATCAAATAGTGGGGCTTCATGTCCACTGCCGTGAGCTGCGCGTACATCGTGTAGCAGCAATTTAAAGAATAGCTAAGATTGTCCATCACGCCTGTTGTGGAAGTTTCCTGGCGGCTGCCCCAACTGTTGGCGATCGGGGTTGTGTCCACTGTGACAGTATCAACAACAATGGCCTGACTGTGCCGAATAGTAGTTGCAGGGGTGATGTTATCACCTCGTTCTGGTCGTTGTGGCTCCATTGATGTCCTTCCGACTCCCACAACCCTGCCAAAGTTAGTAGAGACTGTGGAGTTGGGATGTGTGGATTAATAGGTCTAGCGCTTGCGAATCCGGGTTCTGGGGTGAGCCATTCGGCACGTACACAATCTCCAGCACGAATATATAAATAGCCGACGTAAAGGACACGCTTTCTCTCCTGAGTGTGCGTGGGGTTCTTGCCTCCCACAATGGGCCGCGCTTTAAATGAGTCGGACCGGAAGAGGAGCCAGATTGTCTCATGGTACGCGCCAGTCAGGCTGCGCGGAGTACGCGCGAGCCCATAAATACTGCCGTACATAGGCGAGATGTGGTGGCACGCCTAGACGTATGCCTTCACGCCGCTTCAGCTACTGTACTTTATCCAAACACTAGTTGGTTGACAAGATCTGACGATCTACTGATGAATGAGGAGGAAGAGGGGGTGAGACCGACACTGCGAACCCACCCCCATGGCATATCAGCGCATCCTTCATCATAATAAATCTGATGCGCTTAAATGTATCACGACACACTAAGTCATGGCTTGGTCGTTAGCTGACGGGGTAACTCGGTGCCTCTCAGGGCTGCGAATCAGGGTGCAAGGAATCCCTCCTAATGTGGCTTCTTTGGCATTCTCACGCATGTGAGATTCAAGCCACTCTCACGAAGGCCAGGCACATGTTGCGAGGAACAAGTCGTCTGCCACACGCGTAGACAGGCCGTTAAGCCTTAACAGCCACCACGCCCGAGCTCACATCCGGTCGTCTTGACGTAGTCTGGCGTGAGTGAGGAATATGAAAGTCCTTATATTGCCGAGGCTTTGGACTACGGCAGTGTGCCCCCGAGAATGAAGAGGGTTTCTAGTTTGCCACAAAAAACATCGAAGTGGTGGTTTGCAAAGTTGTCTCCGCACTCTTGACAAGGGTCTCGGAGCACCAAAGTTAAAATAGGAGATTCCTAAAGCAATGATTGTGGAAAACCTAAAGCACTTCCTGATTTTAAAAAAACTTATCTCGCTTGTGGCTGAAGGCCCCTTTTGCCCCTGGTGCGTCGTTTAGTCGATTCCCCTTTCCTCCTTGCTAGAATCTTTACTCTAGTTTTTGTCAAAAGAAGGTGAAAGCTCGAGTTCCAGGTGTAAGCATAAGTGAAGAAGAAGGATGGTCGAGCACCTGAACATCGGAGCCATGCGCAGTCACCTCCAGTCTTGCGCCGTCGGTCGATGATTGGCTTACACACCCTATAATTGTCGCTTTTTCTGTTGCTGCTACTATCTCTGACGATCGGCTCCTATACAAGTTCGAAAGCTCAGAACAATAAACAAAATGTTATGGTGCTAGACCATCCTTCTTCTAGCCTTTGTCTATTTCATGTGCGTGACGATAGTTAGTCAATAGCAAAAAATGTTTTTGACAAGGGAGACTATAACCGCTATTCCTGAGAGGGCTTTTAGCCCATAACTCTGAGACAGGAAGTCAGAATTATATACACAATAAACCTCTCATTTCGGCTCCTTCCATCTTATCTCTCTGATGGGGACATGGCCTGATTGTGGCGCTGTAAGTAGACTTAGTCGAACCGCTATATGCCGTCGACCGAGGCTTTTCTCAGCAGCTGGGACACTCCAAGATTCCAACGTTTTCAACAGTTCGCACATTACAGGTACCATGCTAAAGTGACCAGTCCTGCTCACTGCAATTTCCTCAGTTTGGCTAGAGTTGGTCAGATATTTTAGACGGCTGCCAAGTCTTGCCATGTGTCACGACTTTGACTTAGTGGGAAAATGAGCCGAATATGTTTCGTCCATTTACGAGGTTCCATGTCGACTTCTCCGCAGAGCAGACGGTTGATATTGAGGCAGAAGTGGCGCAGCTGTTAGAAGAGACTTGATGACAGCAAACTGCGTGGAAATTGCGTTAAAATGATCCAGTGGCCAGGTTTAGTCAAGACGGCTGGCAATGAGACTGAGTGCAGTGGCCGACCTGTATGGAGCCCCTGCCTACGTACACCACAGCGTTCTCCCTCCTATTAGCCGGATCAGGTCTTTTGCTAGACAAATAGTTCATAGAGTGCGACGCTTGGGGTTGGGGGGCTGACGTCAAACAGCAATATGTAGAAAAGTAAATGAGAGAAATGCTCGGACACATTAAACCTTACCACCGCTCCACGCAATTCGATTCTGCGGTGTATGTTGCTATGGGATAGACGATGACTGTAACTTTTCAAGGAAGAGCAAGGTAGAAAACCTGCACTGCCACTGTGTAGATCCACTGGAACTTTCGGTTTTAGCCAAGGAAAAAACTTAAGTTTGCAAACTGGCACTTCCGAGTATTAAGGTCAGCATCTGGGTATTGAACCGAGATCAATCGAAACTCAATAGATTTAAAAGTTAATAAGTATTCTGTGAGCTGTCAGTTAAATCCTCTTATTTGACTCAAAAGTCCCCTTCCTCGTGGTAGCCGCACGAGTAAACGCGATCGGAGCAGGAAGAAGACGGGTAATGCGTCTCCTTGGGGCAATATAAAAGAGTGTCTGCTTGCAAACGGGTTCGGATATGACATCACACATTCGTTCCTTGGAGAATGAAAATAGGGCACATTTTTTTAAAAAAAAGAGAAGACACTTAGGAGTGCCGCTTCCTGCTATCGTTGCCTACAACCTCTATACACATTCCATGCTGTGTGGGTGGCAGGGTAAAGTGACCGTCGGTTTGTGTGCTCCCTAAGTTTACCAGTAATTCTGTAGTAGGGGTCAGTCATTTTTAACGCTGTTTCACCTACTAATGCAACTAAGCAGTTCTAAACACGTTCAAGACTATGCTAACCGTCTGGAAAAGTGCCAGTATTCATTGACCGATTGTACTGCTACTCACAACGAAGAGCAAAGCCCATGCAGATCAGGTAGGTTAACTCAGTGATGGTATTTCCTTGAGACAGCTGTAAAACAGAACAACCTAGCAAAAAGGTTAAGGCTTGGTGTAAAGCCTTTCGAACTGTTTTGTCCTGGTCCTTATGGAGCGGTTAAAGGCACGAATCTGTTAAAATATCCAACAATACCACCTGAGTCAAGATAGCTGTAACAGTTTTAACTATAATGAACGACTTCGCTGGGATGTCATAGCCTGATTTGGTCAAACTGAACGTGGTTTCAGGATTGAGATCTCAGAAGGATTCTACAGCCTGATTTAATCCGTCAAAACCATTGACAAGCTAGTCCGCTAGCTGTTTGAGCACGCAGATCCAAACGATTCTGATTACATTGCGTGTGAGGGAAAATGGCCTACTGGTCAAACGTATCTAAACGTAAAACAATAGTGAAAATCTATCAAGAGAATCTCGGTGACTGACACGAGGACTACAACTCACCTCAATAATGCGAACGCCCAAATGGTAATAAAAATCGCCAATTCCAAGGATCTTTGACCAGTATCCATTGCTCGAGGCCAGAGGGTCGACGCCAATGTTCGCGCACATTGACTGAAACTGGGCTCGAAACTGCTTATCTTGTCGAATTTTCGATTGGTATTTAGAAGCAAACTCCTCCAGTGAGGATTTTAATTCCTCCAACTGTCTCGACAAGACCGCTGCTTCAAATTCCTCCATCTCATTCTTCTTCTCCTTGAAGCGCGATTGGGCAATTGATCTGTTTTTAATTGCACCAACTCCAACACCCCTTCTCATTGTGAGGGACAGATACTGATGACTGACACCGTGGTCTGGCACGAAGCTCGATGACCGATGGTCTATAAAGAGTAAGTGAGCTAGAGCTGCTCCAGGAGAAAAAGACGAAAAACGGCAGAACAAGAAGCCAAGTCGTCACTGATACGCCTTTATTTCTGGTCGTCCAATCCTATACATATTCTAAATCAGCACCGTACACCAATGCCTATCCCATCAGGCTATCTACCCGGTCGGCCGGAATGTTCACCAACGCAATGAGCACCTATAAAACGTCCCTCCAGTCTTACAACACATAAAAACGAGATGTACTCCACTTTATTCTTGACGAAAGCTTGGAAAATATTTACCTGAGATCTAAGGTAAAGTAATTTGTAAAATTATTACCAGCAAAAAAATACTTATAACAATTTCTGATGGAATAAAATTTCGTCCGTTAGTATAAGGACTGTGTGGCCGGCAGCTTTGTGTATTGTCGCACAGACTGCGTCGCAATATCATTCCCACGCCCCATCCACCTGCCTCAAGAGGCGTTCATGGATTTCCCTCAAAATTTCCGTTGGGATTTCGGAGACGTGGTACTGGAGCGTTATAGTGACCAAATGCTATTGTCTGATGACCGCAGGCATAGCCATTAATAAAAGGTTTCCAAAACGAAATACTTCTTTGGATTGCGGAAATTACAGCTGGAAAGATCCGTTCCTTAATGTAATAAAACTAAACATATTTGTCAAATTTGTAACAGCGAAGATTGCAAAGGGTCTTAAAGTGGTTATGACGTCAGGCATGCGGTTATAAAGTATTTTTGCCGTTTTAACAGTAAATAAGCGTTCCGATATTCCGTAACGCTTCCCTTTGAAAAGAATAAAAGGCTATACCCTGATAGCGTTTTGCTGTCAAGTTGCCCGCTACAGTGGCTCCAAGTTTGCTGTGGTCGCGGACCGGTGCGAACAGTCTCAATTTCGCATGTACACACACTGCCTTAGGGGCGAAATCGACTCCGCGATTGCGGACAACCCGGGCCAAATAGACTGTTAAATGCCCGAGGTTAGGAACCGCGGGGATAGGACTGCCTGATTAGCCGAGTAAAGAGCACTCGTACGCATGGGCGCGCGCCTTACTAAAGAAAGATTGCCGTCTGAGCCAGCCAGAGTGCCTACTGCTACCCAGGTCCGGGTCGTCCCTGTGGCAGCTAAGATGGAGCTCCGACCATCCTATGCGGTTAGCAGTTATTATCGAAAGGTTTCTTTGGCTTAACTACCGTGATGACTGTTTTGTCGGACTTAAAACAAACTTCTAGACCTCCGGAACTTTTCTATAGTACTTTGCCATCTAACTAGCACCGCGCCGAACAACCATAACACCACATTTAACTCGTCGTAGCGAATTATACCATCGGTATAGAGATAAGTTTAAACTCTCTAGAAGTCCAAAATAGGACTATAACATATTGGAAATTAAAGTAGTGCTAACTCATATACAATAGCATTAATGCCATGACATTAATGTGTCTCTCACTTACATCATACAGCGCCAAAGCCTCGGTGACTCAAGCGTGTGTGGGCTATTCGCCCTTTAATCGAGAAGTGCACTTCGTAAACGACCGTTGTCTGAACGGATTAACGTCCCTTTTAGCAGCCATTCACGGAGGGGCGTGCATGACCTGTGTTGGTGAAGATGTCTGTGTTCCTTTTCCTCAGAACCGCTAGTATTTTCTTTTATATCGCCCGCCGTTTCGCGCTCCCCCGCTATCTCTCCGCATCGTTGCCCCTCCACAGACATTCCTTGCAGGTGTCTTTAATGTGTCACGACCACCTGCGTTCCAGCGGATATAACTAAAATGCACCTAACTGCGCACGTTACACAATTCACTCTTGTAGTGTTACGGTCTGATCTGCATATTAAGGACGGCATGCCCTGCCAACACATGGTCCCTTCATAGGCGGGCTGATTGGGAGCGACGTGGGACCACAACCTCCTCTTCATTGAAGCATTTTGATATGTATCTGCATCGAAATGTGCTCTTCAAAAGCACTGCTTATTGTAGACTTTCTGGCATCGAAAAGTCTAATTTGTCCAAAATAACTAATGCTTTATGGATAGAATATCCGTTAAGACCCACTGAAGGTGGCTATGGATAAGGTCAATAGATCTTGCTTTATTAAAGTATCTCAATGTGGAGAAACTTATCTGTCAAGCCAGCTGCATGCGCGTCGGCGGCTTTGTTAACTCTTCCTATATTAGATAAATGCTTGAGGATAATATTGTACCTCAAGCAGTGCTGTTCTCGTGTTCTTCATAACTGCCTTCTTTAATTTAATGTTTTTATGATGATTTTTAAGGCACTTGCTTACCAGCCAGTGTTAGTAGGTGAACTGTACATCTCGGAGCAGTATTGGTGTTCCTATTGCAGTTATGCTAGTTGTTTGCTGTTTTACTGCATATCCGAACTAACAATGAAACCTAATTACTGTGGCTCTCACCGGAGCACCCTATACAAGCGCATTATGCGCCACATGAAGACATATTATAAGGCCACTGAAGTGTCCGAGTCTGAGGTCCCCTTAGCATCGTCGGCAGTTGCCGATCAGTTGCCTGAAAGCGAAATGTTTACCTGGAACGCTGAAATTCCTGCCGGTATCTATTATACGTGTGTAAACGAATGATGTATGTTAAGGCCGTGGGGGGCGTGGAAGATACATATGCAATTGGAGGCAAAATCTTTTTGGAGGCTTTGCAAGAATTCAGCCTGGGAGCGCAAATGTCTCTGTACCCACCAAGAAGTTGTTCAATATTTTACGACCTTTTCATCCGGAGGTATCTAAGGACTCATGGACATTATTGCAAACGCCTCGAACGTGCAGTAAGAGTCCTTTATATAACGGCAGCTATGTTCATTTGGGTTTCACAGAAGGTCTGCTTCACGAGCATCGTCTTCGGCGGACAACAAATATTTCCGAAATACGTATTCAACTGCTCATCGGTAGGATGAAAATTTTAAAGGGCTTTGCCAATGCCCATGGCCAATACTCTATCGCATCAGCTATCCGGGGGTTAGACAACCCCTTGTTGTCGGCGTATTTTCCGGATATAGTAAGCCGGACCCCTGGACGACATTTTGGGTGACTGTGTGATAGAAGTGAAGGGACTAATTGCTACTGGTATGCGTGTTCCATTGACAGGAAGTATGGTCACGGTAGTCCTATAGAATGTCATCTGCGACATGTCCAATCTATCTTGCGTCAGGCGAGTGAAAGCGTATATTGGCTAACACGGATGTGACAGATATATCATTTTGAACAGACAACATCAATCACTGCAGGTGTTGTCATGTTGGGCTCCCCGTTGTCAATCGCATGACATTCCCCTCGTACAGCGACCGGCTGCTGGCAGACAGGCTATTCCGATTGCGAACCCAGGCACTGCACCACAAGGGCATGTCGCCCTTTGGGGATTTACCAATCTACATTGTAGCCTCGTTGCCAATCGATTACATGCATCTCGTCAGTCTGGGTGCGATGCAGAAGTTGCCTTACTTGTGGTGACTGGGGTCAGAGTTATCTGCCCGAATTAATGCCTCCATCGAAATATGCGGTCAGTGTTTGCCGTCGGAGTTTTCACAAGTGCAGATCGCTTTACTCCCTTGAATATTGGATGGCTGCCGAATACCGGTAATTCTTACCGTACATAGGCCCTATCTTTTTACATCCTTTTCTTTATACCTCCCGTTACCATCATTTTTTGTTACTGAGCGCTGCTATTTGCATTATTTGTCCCCCAACGTTTCATATATCCTGGATTTAATTTGCCTGTCTCACGTTAAACAGTTTTGTTGCTGATTTTTTCCCTATTGCATAATCCAACAGACATTGCATATAACATTCCTTGCCTCCTTTACCCCATGAGAACGTCAGTCATTTTGGAAAGTTGGGTAGGTTTTCTGCATTTCCATTGGAGTCCTTCCTACAGACAGTTCGGAATACCATAATGCGATATGAATCCACATATCTGCGCGGCTTTGGCAGAGGTTCTATCTGCATGAGGTGATAAAGCAGGCTTATTTGTATAACTTAGACCTAGGTCCTTTATGATGAGGCATTCTGAGATTGGGTTATTCTGAAAAATTATGGGACCAGGAAGTTTGGTAGGACCAAAAGACATGAAACTACACTTGGATGATGAAAACTCCATCTGCCATGTCGAACCCCATCTGCTTAAGCGTAGTAGATCGGCATTAATTTTTTCAACACAAACATTTTCGGTGTCCTTAGAGTATGAGTAAACACACTTGAGGTCATCGGCATAAGTAAAAGTTTGCGAATTTCCGAGTTCAGTCGAGATATCATTGATGTACAGAAGGAAGAGTAGCGGACCCAGAGGCCTGCCTTGAAGTACGCCACTCGTGATCGAGTGGGGTGCCGAGTAGCTATTACCGACCATGACTCTCTGATATCGGTTGGACAGATAGGACCTGATGAAGTCGAGTAGAGGCGGCCGGATGCCGAGAACTTCGAATTTTACTAAAAGACGTCTATGGGGCACCTTGTCAAAGGCTTTGCTAAGATCAAAGTAAATAACTACCACTGACTGTAGCTCATTACGAAGAGAAGTGATTAGATTAATAAAAGCCAAGTGACATGTTTCACAGGATCGTTCAGGTAAAAATCCATGCTGACTAGAGCTCAGAATCCGATTAGACAGACAGAAGTCAAGAATTCCATTGAAAATAATCCTTTCAAGAAGCTTTGCTAGAGACGGCGTTTTGTGCACGCCCCGATAGTTATTAACATCGGACCGAGATCCTGACTTGAAGACGGGAATGATAATTGACGTTTTCCATGTTTCAGGAAAGAATCTCCTCTGTGCCTCAGCTTCTGCTGGGGAAGCTCCACGGGGAAACAGTCGTTCGTTGGAAGTCCTCTGTATGCCCTCCTTTGTGGTATTTCATTTGAAAAACGTTCAGAAGCCATTTGCCCGAACCCAACGTTTGGCGCTTGCGCCAACGAACTGCTCTGAAAGATGTCTACCGGCTGGTTCCATGTGTCTAGAGACCAGTACGGTGGCCAGGCTAAACCTCGAGGGAAAGTCACATGATACAACGACGCCACAGTTTACGCAGTACCGCCTCTATCCGATGACACGGTAATTACCATCATTTAACTGTGCAATGTTTATGCCATATGCTTATATTATTTTAATTAATGACTTTTGGTATGAATGGTAAGCGCATTAGGTGTGCTATCTCATGTGATGTCATTTAAGTGGGGCTGTAATATTATTTGTCATGACGCGCAATCTAAAAATTTACGATAATGCTTGGGTTCCTCCTGCAAAACTAACAAACTCGTATGTAAAATAAAAAATTCACACCACTCAGGGCTACTTCAGAAGTATTAAAACTGTTAACATAGTGTGACATTATTAATTTCCTCCCGTAGTTACTAAAGAATCCCTCATCCATGTGTTTTCCCAACAATTGCTTTTCTTCACCTATGAACATC